GTGTAGCAAGTACAGCACTCCTCTCTAAGTCCTATCAGCTTTAGCATAAGCACGCACCTGCTGAAAGATAAGCACAGTGCGGGATCCTGCCTAGGGTGCTCAGCACTTTGCAAGAGTGAAATGCCTCCTGAAATGCCCCCGAGGCATAGGGGCTGTGATTTATACACCAAGTCTCTCCCTCTCATCATGCCGCACCCAGACAAGGCCTCATCCTGTGCTTCATCGCCTGTACAGGTGAGGTCATGGTGCTGGAAGCGGATATCAACATAGAAGGAAACATGACCCCTAATGAGACAACCAAGCCCATCATGGCACATCCTCCTGCCATCTACAGTGATAACTCTTTCCAAGAGTGGCTGGATGCCGTCCTGAACTCCTCACGCAAAGGTAAGGGAAGGTGCGCTTTTCAGTCAGCTGGTGCAAACCCTTGCCCTTAGTGGTTTATGGAAGCAAAGGATGCCTAAATGCTCTGTTCATGACCCTGTCGGACATTGCCAGCCCTCAACCCCCTGCTTTACTTGTGGCAGGTTAGGGCACTTTTGGTGACTTTGGGCCTTGCAGTTACGTGACAGAATTGTGTAGTTTTAGAAAGAGGTTAGACAAGGATGTAGTGTGGCATGGTTTAGATAGGGATGATCCTGTCTAAAGGATAGATAGGACTGACATATGGAAACTGGTAGATGTGGTGTACCTTGATTTTAGCAAGGCTTTTGATATGGTCTCCCACCATGTTATCACAGGCAAGCTAAGGAAGTACGGGCTGGATGCATGGACTGTAAGGTGGATAGAGAACTGGCTGGAGCATCGGGCTCAGGCAGTAGTAGTCAATGGCTTAATGTCTAGTTGACAGCTGGTATCCAGTGGAGTGCCCCAGGGGTTGGTCCTGGGGCCAGTTTTGTTCAATGTCTTCAGCAATGACCGGGAGGATGAGATGGAGCGCACCCTCAGCAAGTTTGCAGATGACACCAAGTTGCGGGGCTGGGGGGAGTAGATACACTGGAGGGTAGGGCTAGGATTCAGTGAGACCTAGACAAATTGGAGGATTGGGCCAAAAGGAATCTCATGAGGTTCAACAAGGACACGTGCAAAGTCCTGCATTTAGGACAGCGATCCCATGCACCGGGGCAGGCTGGGGGCTGGCTGGCTGGGCAGCAGCTCTGCAGGAAAGGACCTGGGGGTGACAGTGGACAGTAAGATGGCTATGAGCCAGCGGTGTGCCCTTGTTGCCAAAAAGGCTAACAGCATCCTGGGCTGCATGAGTAGGTGCATTGCCAGTAGGTAAAGGGAAGTGATCCTTCCCCTCTATTCAGCACTGCTGAGGCCACATCTGGAGTCCTGTGTTCAGTTTTGGGCCCCCCACTACAGAAAGGATGTGGACAAATTGAAGAAAGTCCAGTGGAGGGTGACAAAAATGGTGAGGGGGCTGGGGGACAGGACTTGTGAGGAGAGGCTGAAGGAACTGGGCTTATATAGTCTAGAGGAGAGGAGACAAAGGGGATTTAACAGCAGCCTTCAACTACCTGAAGGGAGGCTCAAAAGAGGACAGAGCTGGCCTGTTCTCAGTGGGGGCAGATGACAGAACAAGGAGCAATGGGCTCAATTTGCAGCAAGGGAAGTTTAGGTTGGTTATTGGGAAGAATTTTCTCACTAGGAGGGTAGCAAAACGCTGGGACAGGTTACCCAGAGAGGTGGTGGACTCTCCATCCTTGGAGGTTTTTTAAGACCCGGATAGACAAAGCCTTGGCTGGGATGATCTAGTTGGGGTTGGTTCTGCTTTGAGCAGGGGTTTGGGCTAGATGTGACTTCCTGAGGTCCCCTTCCAACCCTCATTTTCTATGAGTCTATGATCCCGTCTCAGAGGTGACCTCCCGAGCTTCCTTCCAGCCCTACTTTGCTATGATGATATGATTACATAATGAAGAAGCACTTGGGGTGGCCAGCGGCAGGGCAGCGATAAACACAGGGCCCCTCTCTAAAGGTGCTGGGAGTGGATCAGCCGCTCGTGTCAAGTGGCACCAGGACTGCAAAGACCACCACTCTCTCTGGCAGGGATCAAGCTGGATTTCAAAAGCATCAAAGCCGTTGGCCCCGCTCTGGAGATTTTACTAAAGAAATCTCAGGAGGTGGACATCAACCGCCCCGTGTGGCTGAACGCGGATATTCTGGAGGGCCCCAACGTGCTCGTCAACGTATCACTTAATGCCAGCACGTGAGTAAGCCCAGCTCTCCTGACCACTTGCTTTGTGCTTCTCAAGCCCCAGAGAATCTGAACCATCACCCCCCAGTCACCCCAGTCAAGCACACGCCAATCAACCCCATGCCAGTCAGCCACTGCTAAGGGAGAGGGGTCGCTCAGGAGCAGGCATCATCTCTTGCTGTCACTGTTACCTCTGCCAGTTCCTGATTAAAGCAGGGGTTAAGCTTGCAATGGTTTTGCTAGGCTGGTATAACTACAGGAAGAGGCAGAGGTAGCAGTCATAGCCTACAGGTACCGCTCAGGTGCGCACAGGCCGGTCCCCAGCCGCACAGCTATTCAGTATTCCCTGCCCTTATCTCCCAGAACGACACAATAGACACGGGACAAAATACTCGATTACAACCTGGCGTTAAAGCCTTTACAACAGCCACCGGGACACCAGAGATGGGCATTCAGCTGATATACAAGGCGATAAGAGAGCTCTCCAGAACACCACGCTGGAAAACATCACCCCTTAGCATTGCCGGTCACCCAGGACCAGCTCCACAGAAATACCGAGGGGCCTGCTTACCCCTGAGCTTTCATGCTACTAGCTGCAGTAGGTGCTGTATTTTCTTGCATCAAATGCAATCCTTGTTTGCCCCCAGAAGCCAGCGGTTGGCATTTGGAGTGCTCATTGCATGCCAGGAAATACAGTAAGAGCAGTTTCCGCCGCTCACCAGGCAAAAACTACAGTAAAGTCTGCACGATGCACAGAGCAGGGGCAGCTCCTTCGCTACTGCTACTCAGTCACTTACTACAAGGAGAAAAAGCTTTTTTCCCCCCTTCATTCTGCCTTTCCAAAATAAGCCAGGTATTATATTCAGCAGCGCGTTGTACGTGCAAAAATACAGGGGTGGGGAGAACAAGCCCAAAGAATTTCTAAACGTCCCTTCTCCCCCTGGGCGCCTTTGTAGGGACATGAGTTTAATCAACCCTACTGTCTGTATAGCAATGCACAACACTAGTAACAAACCCAGGTTGGCAACATGAACCTTTTGGACAGAAAAAAGAATTTTTAAACTCAAAGGAGCCTGCTTTCCCATGACCCGAGGTCCCTATTGATTTCGAATGCCCCTTACACACCAGTGAGTGTATTATGTGGCTGACGGGAGTTTTGAGGCCATACTTAAATCCACAGCATGGCCAGGAATTGCAGCATTCATTTTGGAAATGTGTTATCCCCCCCGCCGCAGTTTACCTTTCCTTCCCTTAGGAGAAACAAACAGTGCCAGAGGGGGAGTTAAAGCAGACGCGGCAGAGAGGACAGTTAGACTCAGCTCTGGATGCTCTTCCCTCTTCCCGAGACAAACATCCTTAGGTTCAATGAGGCTCAAGTCAACAGAGTCCTAAGTTAATCACACTAAAACCCTACAGCATTTCCAGGAACGATCTCCTTTCTATACAGCAGTTAAAGCAATTTGCTGTGTTTTAAGAGGCATTTGCAGTTTTCTGTATAGCATCACAGTTTAATGAATAACTCTGGAAGCCCTGTCCCAGCCTGCCGGCCAAGCTGGAGGTATGCCAGCCTCCTCGCGCTATGCGGGATACACAGGTTTTTCCAGGTTGCCACATCATGTGCTGCATGGCTGAAAGTGCAGGGCACCGAGTGGGAGGGTAGGTTTCTTTTATAAGTATTGTCCCTATTTATACCATTTTAAACATCCGTCTTTTTTACACTGAACTCAGGCCTTAGACAGACCACGTCCCCCACCATTGCTGCAGCCTGCTGTGAATCCAAACAGGCCGGCTCTGGGCCGCAGTAGACCTATCGAAGGGTTAGCTCAGAGCCGAGGGAGAACCACGAGAGAGCGGTGGGTGCAGATCAGTGGCACAGCTCATCCTCACCTGTCCTCTCGGGGGAGAAAAGGCAAACTCGCTTTTGTGTGCCAGTAGCAGCGCCTGTGTGCATGTGCGTTTATACATCAAGATCCCCATCTAGTGGCATCTGTTACACAGTTCAAAGATTTGTGGGTTTAACAACGTGGTTTTGCTTGGCCGGTGGCTTCCTGGAGTCGCTTCTTAGCAGTAAACCCTGCCTTAAATGTGGTTCCTCTAGGTTCCTCTCGCTCATCCAGGAGAAGTACCCGAACTGCACTCTGTCTCCAGGGTGGACGACCCTCTATTCACCGCTATTCCCAAAGCAAACCTACACCAGGGCAATGATTCAAAAGATGCACGACCTCATCGGGGAGCTGCCCCAGAAAGTCACCTTCCCTGTCCGGGCCATCATGGTAAGACTGGCCTGGCCTCATTTCAGCTGGCTGTTGAACCAGTCAGAGAGGTAAGCAGTCCGCAGCACCAGCTTGTCTTCAATTTGTCAAGGGGTTTAACTTGGCAGCTAGAGAACAGTAATGGTCGGCAGAGCCTTATCTACACTCCAGCTCAAGCAGGTGGGGCCTCTAAGCATGCATTATACCCACATTGCAGGAATCTTGCTGTAGTTGGACACTTGAGCATGAACAAACCTGGCAGTGTGACTAGTTAAAAGAGAACTGCCTAGTGCCCTGGGCAATATTGGCTTTCCAGATCCCCGAAGCTGCCAAACACTTAAGCCCCAGGGTGCTTTTCCCTTTGAAAGACCACAAACAAATTGTGGCTAAGTAGCCAGCTGCACCTCCAAGTCACATAGAGGCAGCCCAGGAGCCTGCAGGAAGCCCCGCCAACCCAGCTGCATGTTTTCTCCATAGGTACAGCCTGACCCTGTGGCAGGGGAAGACGGACCCAGTGACAGTGGAGGACCTCCTCTTCATCCGGGATAACAGCCGTGCTGAGCAGATCTACTATGACATTTATGATCCCGTCTTGTCGCAGTTCAAGGAAATGGCCTGTATGTTTGGATGATGGTATTGCCCAGCAGCCCCGTGTCGGCTTGGGAGCCTAGGGAGGAAACACATCACGTTTCACCACCTTGGTGCTGCCGTTCAAATTGGTATGGCAGCACAAAGGCTAAATAAACAGACACCCATGCCCCTTGTCACGCCACAAATAGTGGCCTTGACTTGGAGAGTATTGATTTGGGCTGGGATTTAGCCGCAGATGTCTGTTTACTTTACAGTGGGAGAGTGCAGGCTCCCCGTGCTCTCCATCCGCCCTCAAGCACGTGCTCTGGGGGTTTGAATGGCCCGAGCCTGCACGCCCTAGGAGTTCCCATACAGGATCCGGCCCCTAAAGCCCCCAGATCCTTATCTGGCTTTCCTTGGAGACCCTGGGGACACGTCTCAAGAAGTGGAGAAAGCTAGGCACTGCCAGAGCTTGACCTGCATAGGGACTCCCAGGGTGCACAGGACCTGGCCCCTTGGACAACACATCGCCCAATGTCCCACAAGACCAACGAGAGGGACAACAGGCAATGTGTGTTTCCCGGGACATGTCCTAGCACAGCTGATCTGCCTCATTTGGCAATATCTGTTTCTAAACCTAGTGCGCTAATGGCTTTGCATGCATGCACAGCTTGCATAGGGTGCAGACACAGAATACTTACACTAGTAGCTGGAGGAGGCGAGTGAGCAGCAATCCCAAGGCAGCTGCCTGCAATAGGCAGTGTTACAGGCTAGGCAGGAGAGGAGTGAGGAACAGCCTGTTTGCTTGAGCTGACTAGAGCTACAGGCACACACTCCCACCACCCACGTAACCCACACTCCTGATTTCCAAGGGGTAACTGTACCTCACGGGGGAGTGCTTTAGGGCAGTGTAGGGCTGTACATCGTGTCCCCTCCCCAGTAACACTGATAGAAAGGCAGACTGCATTGCTATGAACCTGCACCCTAAATAAATAGAGCTAAGGCTGGGAGTGGGGGCAGTGGGGCACTGAGCGATTAGACGACTTGCTCGAGGTCACCCAACAGGTCAGTGGCAGAGCTGAGAACAGAGCTGCGGTCTCCTGTGCCCTTCGTACAAACCCACACCGCCTCCCGGCTCTGCTCCAGTCTCATGGGTGGGGAGGGCTACGCCACTGCCTATGCAGACAGTTCACTGGAGCCCACTCCTCTGTGCCTTGACACCTGTGGTATATGCACAGGGGGGCAATACAGGGAGTTGTCCCTTGTCCTAAAGCAGATATATAACCAGAAATTGTGCCGGAGCCCTCTCAGCTCAACGCCAGGTTTAAATCAGCAGAGTGACTAGGAAGGACACAGTCCTTGCCTGTCGAAATCAATAAGCAGAGGGTGACAGGCTATGACACCTCCCTCTCATGGATCCAAAGGGGAGAAAAGGCTTCCTAGACCAGCCAGTCTCCCTACCCGCCAAGGCAGGCTTTTCCTCTCATACCCAGAGATCATCGCATCCTGTGCTTAGCTACCTCTGCTCAGCTACTGTTGAGGGAGGTCTGACCTGGAAATTGGGGGCGGAAACTATTGCCGAGAAATGCATTGCTCTGCCATCTGGGCTGACGAGTGACACGGGGATAAAGGAGCGCTCATGCTCTCTGTGCTGCTCTGACATGAAAAAGGTTCCCCCTCCCCATGCCCGGGGGGTTGTGTAGGAACATAGGACTTGCAGAGACCTCTCGAGTCTGAGTTCAGACCCCTGTGATCACAGGCAACTGTGTCTCGGTCTCATTCACAATCTGATCACGGTGCATTTTAAAACGACTTAGATTATTTGGGAGCAGTCAGGTTTGCCAAGTCTGGTCTGCCTTGATTTTGCCAGGGCCTTTTTTTTGGGGGGGGAGGGGGGGGGGATCTTGTAACCTCTCACACTTTAATTGGAGAAGCAGTGGTGTCCAGTGCTCCCTAGATGCTTAGGGAAAAGGATCTGTGTGTGTAAGATGAGACGTAAGCAGGTGGTAAAAAAAGCATCAGGTCCTCCCAGAGTTTTAAGCGGTAGTTTAAAAATCTTGTCATTGAATTGCTCCGAACATTGTCCCTTGTGATGTCTGGTTCATTAGATCACTGGTTGCCTTCCAGCATAGACAAGGCCTAAATTTCAGAAGTAATAAAAGTCAAGTAGCAGAACTTACAGCAACACCCCATCGCACCACAAACAAGCAGAGAGGCATCGCTCTCCCCCATCTTTCGCCAGTCAGTGACAGCAGCAGCAGTTAACATGCACTTAGGAAGCGCTGAGCCCAAGTTGTGCTCGCAGCCATGTATGCATGACAGCTGGGACTGGCAGCATTGGATGCTGAGCTTTTAATTTACAGCTGATCAGCTGTAAAGTGCTTTCACTCTTCATCTGCCCATGATCCCAGGTTCAGTTTAAACGGTAACAAGTGCTGCTTGATCGGGACACAGTTAGCTAAATTGCTGGCTACAGAGGCCACATTCAGTCTGTGAGCAGGGGTCCTGGCTATTTAATCCTATGTGCAGTTCTAGGTCGTTCCCTCCCCTGAGCAGGGTCACAGCACATTTAACAACTCACAGACCCGGCTGTGTTACAGGCCTAACTTACCACCTCCGGTAAAGCAGCAGTGATGGTAACTCACAGATTGGTGTTGGCTTCTTCCTACAGGCAGAGCCTGAGAGACAAAAGCACAAGTAATGCACTGCAAGGGACTGATGGTGTCTGCTTGTTTTCCTCTCAACCTCACAGTGAAGTCGACCAGGAAGAGAGCCTACTACCCTGGGGGTGACTTACTCGAGTATTTTCACCCATCAAACGGGGATGGCCTTTCCATAGAGTGGTATGCGATGGAGCACAATGAAAGCAAGACATCGACATCGTCCATGCTTACAGGTGACTGTCACACATTTCCTCCCGTAGCCATCTAAAAAAAAAAAAAATCTAGGCAGCATGAGTTTATAAGAGGGAGAATAATTGGCACGTCCCAAGTGTTGCAGTGCACTGTGGCGGGGAGGCTAGGATCGCAGCAGATGTTCAAATGGGCTGGTTACAGACAGAGTCGTGGAAAAGGCAAGGAAATGAGAAGTTAGGAACAGGACGGAGGAGGGATCTGTGAGATGCTGAGTTGCGAGCTCCACACCAGTAACGTCAATAGATAAACCAGTGGCATTGGGGGCGGAAGGGTGGGATATAAATGGGCTTAGTGGGATGAATTACCACAAAATAAGATCTATAGGCCGACTACTGGGAGAACCTGGCCCAGCAGTAACAACTGTAGAATAGTCTGTGCAAGTTGCAGGAAGCCCTAATGGTGCATGATTCAAACCCGAGCCGTTTCAAGCAGTTGAGGATCCATCATGAGCAACAATCCTAGGTTAGAAATGGGATTCAGATGGCCCAGTGATCCTGGGCTAAGGGCCAATAGTCTAGAGGAGGTATAGCAGCAACTAGGCCTCCAGCAGCAAGGCACTGCTCTACCAGCCAGGACTGCAGGACATCGCACGGACTAAGGGAAGCTGAGGTGTGTAAGAAGAGTGACAGCTCTTGCCTCCTCCAGTGCATCCACAGGTAGTTTTAACCCCACAGCTGAATCAGTGCGTTCGGTTAAAACTGTCAAGACAATAAGACATGCCATCGTTTATAGCCCAGTGGGAATTAGCTGTCAAATTAATTTTACCCAAACCCAGATACAATGGAGACATTACATGACTCAAATTCTCAGTCCTAAATTACACCTACCGGTAAGTTTGCTGCATCCAAGGGGCCACTTCTGCTCAAGTTCGTAAAGAGAAATCTCTCCTTTGGTTTCTTTTCTAGACAGGAGCGGCATGATCGTACTGGACGTCGCTGTACAAGACGGCATCAGTGGAAATCTCATCCCAGTTGCATCAACAGGCACCCCCTTGGAACAGTGTCTAGAGACAATATACAGGAGCCAAAACCCGTGGGGCATATTCCTGAATGTAACAGAGCCAGATGCACTTCACCCCACGCTGGAGCTCCTTAGTACGGTCTATGCCAAGAATCTCTTATGGAGCCCCGTATGGGTGAGCCTGGCTGTGTCCTACAGGAGCTTCGACACGCCAGGCTACATGCACGGGGAAGACTTCCTGCGTGCCATCAACACCATTTTCCCTCATGTCACCATAGCCCCTCGCTGGCCCAGGGAAGTGCTGACTGATGGCTACACTGACCTACTGATAGAAGATATGCTCACACTCTGTAAGGGGCTCTGGCAACACGTGTCATTTCAGCTGGAGGCAGTACTACTCAGTAAGTCCTGGCTACCTACTGCAAAGCTCCTGGAGGCATCGCCCAGCTACACCGTCACAGTGCAACACAGCTCTTCAGAGGGTAGCGACTGGGATGGCTTTCCAGGACTTCAGTCTATCAGTACTCAAGCGCAGAAAAGGGTCTATTATACCAAGGCAATACAGAAATGCTTTCATGGCAGATGTCTAACAACTTAGAATTTCCCTGAAAGTTTGGCAAGTGATTTGGTAAGGTTTTTCCCAAGCTCCATTGTTGGTCAAATATCTGTTGAGGTTGGATCCACACCATTTTTGTAACAATGTAACTTGCCTTTATGTTGGCATTAAAACAAAAAGAGTGGACAAACAGCATGTAGCCTTCCACAAGCATAACTTGTGAACACTCAGGATAGATTTATCCTGGGGAAAAATAACAGCAAAACTATAATGGTGTTCATCGCACCACGTGTGCCCATAATGAGCCTGGGGTAGCACTTTGTTCAGTGGAACCAGGCTAGGACCTACTCCAGTGCCACACAGTGGCACCACCTAGGGCAGCTTGCTGCACCAGAGTAACCGGCCATCTGTCAGCTCTAGATCCCACTGTAAGTCCCAGCTGTGCACAAAACCTTGCACTGGTGTTAATATGTTGTGCGTCTGTGCCCTAAGGAAATGCTGCGGATGAAAGGCAATGAATTGGAATGATTTTTCACATAGAATTTCATTTTATTTTGCTTGAAAAAGGACCTCCAAACAGGACCCCCAAATCTGCTTCCATCTGGCCTCCCCATGAGGAGGTTTAAAGCCCCGTCATCCAGGGGTGGGTCTACATCTCTCTGACTGCCTAACACGCTGCCCTAACCACCAGACCCAGGTCAGACTTTATGCAACCCCATCTTCAGCTGTCCCCTTGAAGTGGGTGCTCTGGGAAGCCAAGACAGGGAGATACCGGGGGGGGGAAGAGGGGAGAAAGAGAGCGAGCTCTGTGGTGCGGCTCAGGGAGCTGGCTGTTGCAGAGGTGGGGGGAAGCCCTGGGTTCGAGCTTGGGCCCTTGCTTCCAACGGAGCAGAAACTTGCACAATGGGCTCTGTCCATTTTGTTCAAGGACTATTACAAAGAAGGTGGGAGGGCGACAGAAGGGAGTGGATAATGCCTACCCTCCAGTCATCATTAACTAGGATGTAGGTGCAAACCCCTTCTTGAGGCAGGGACCTAGAACCACTGTGCAGCTGATCTAAAGCAGGTAAGGACGCCCCTGCTCCCCAGTGTGCAGGGCAGGTCTATTTTACCACAGGGCACACGTGCTAACACTGCAGTGACGTGGCTGAGTACGTGCCCTTTAAGCACAAAACGTGAACAAGGGTCCTGCCTACCACTGCCTTCCTCCCTCTTAGTGGATTGCACGCTCTTTGGGGCAGGGCAAAGACCAGCTCTTTGGAGACTGAATCTCTGCACAGTAGATCGACTGGAACACACATCAGTCTATTTTAAACACTATATGAAAATAGTGGAAGCAGCCAAGGACATCTAGGGCCTCTATTACTAAATTAATACTAATTATCATTGTTATTTGCTCACTTGAGATGTGGAACCATTCTGCTGGATGCAGCGGTGTTGGGGTTTCGTGAATGGACACTCGCGCCTAAGGCACAACTCTCCACATTGCCCCATTTTCCCAGTTCCCCTCTCCTTAGAGAAGGATCATTCAGATCAGTTTGCTTCACCTCCAGAAAATGTGCTCATATACCACAAACCACCCTGCTCCTCCCTACCTCCACCCCAGTTCCACGGGCATTGTGTGGTTAGGAGACCAACCTCAGCTAGATGTGGGCATGGAGCCAAAGGGGATCCCCTTCCCCAAGAAGAGCTGGCCAAACATTCACATTAAAAAAACACATTCTCTCACACACACACACACACACACACACACACACTGTATTTATGATGTGCATTTATTGTACTTCTTCCATACCCACCTACAGCCATGGTCAGCAGCAAAATGTCTTGAGCTGCCTTGAGGGGATCTAGAATTTAGCCTGGAGAAATCTGGATGGAGAGTCTAATATTTATTGTTCAGCTCAAGTAGCTTATTAGACATCACAGGAAAATGGTTTTCAAAGCAGAGGCACTCTGGAAATTCAGCCCTTTGTTCCCTAGTTACTGACAAGTAAGGAAACATTTCCTTAAAACTGCACTGCTGCTGCAAGAAGAGTCTGAAACAAAAGGAATCAATTTTCCACCACTGATAGTTTCATCTCCCTCAGCCTTAGGCTGATCAAGGAAAATATGCGGCCACCATTCAAGGAAGACCCACGGAAAAGAACTATGATGAGGTCATAAAGGGAATGGGTTGTTTTACTACTGTCCCCATTATATTCTGGGAGGAGACAGGACATGAGATTGCAGCACACAAATGAGGTATCCTACATCATAATGCCTAGTGCGTTGAACACGAGTACCATGTTACCATAAAGCAGGCTGGATCCCACCCCCCACAACATGCCTGTCTTCATTTACTATACTGCAGTAAAGGGGGATACACTCCCCCAATGGATTACAAGAACTGCTGGAAATCCTCTGAATAGTGGTTATTTTCATTCAAAGGTTCACGTTTGACAGATGTTGCTAGAAAAGTTAATTCCTGTACACGAGGTTACAGCATTTTAAAAAATCCTTTTCAGTTCAATAGATTACACTTTCCTCTTTCAGTGCAAGGCCAATGGCTGGATGACAGTACTGGCCAACACGGGGGCCCTTTGGCCAACCTTATTTGCTTCAGTTTCTTGGAGGGCCAAATTTTGCACTCAGATGAACACGCCAGACCCACCAGAGACCTTACAACTGACACAGAGGTTGACCCCGGTCTTCTTATAAGTGTTCATCTCCCTTCTCTTTTCTGATTACCACCATCAAGCATGTTGGAGTCTGAGCTCATGTTAGTCGTACTGCAGCAGGTGGATTTAAAACTACTGTTCTTTACTAGCAGTGCCACCAGCTGTATCTAACTAATCACTCATTTGAAGAAGGCCAATTTCCTCTTTCACCTAGATCATTAGCTTCAGTATGTGCATAAGACAATCCCAAAGGCATTGTGGAAGCAGTGTGGACAATTACAGATTCTGGAGCCCGACTCTGATATCATCTTTGTTCCTCATCAGGAATCTCTCACAGGCTTCAAAGGTGGAGTAGAAATTTGATGATAGTCCTGCGATGTTAGCAGTGACGTAGTTTAGGTATCCTGGAGTAGCTTGGTTGTAATAGGCCACCTGAAATCCACAGCACACAGTGGTTACCAACTCTCATGATGCATCCCTGGCATCCCCCAGCAGCACAGCAACACTGCTTTCCTCCATCTGCTATTTACCAGAAGCCACTCAAAGAGAAGGTCTAGTATGGGCAGGCCACAAAAACACCACCTACTCTGATCCAATGGCTGTAAGTTTCTATATACCTCTGGGTGCAGAAGGACAGCACCCATTGCCCCAGTCAACAGCATGGAACAGCAGCTGTGGCAAAGCTGCTCTGCAGCATTGAGGAATAAAATGCCCCTTCACTGTTTAGTCGTCCACACAACAGTCTGGCGCAGGGCACTTCTTTGGTGTTGGGGAGGGTGAACACTGAAAGCAAAGCCAGCCAGGGGGGAAAGATGGGAACAGCTGGGCTTAAACTGCTTGAATATTGGGCATAAACTACCTGAACGTCTCAATTTCCTCTTTTCGTGATCAATTTGTATTCACGGTGGCCAAGACGCTGCACCCATTAACAAGAAGGGGAGAAGATGGGACAGCCAGTCATTTACAAAAGGAGCTTTAATGTGGCTAACCCCGCCTGGCTCACAGGAGATGTTGCCATCTTGGAATTTGGTTTTGGTATGTATCATTGAAATGCAAATTTCCCTGCTAAGCTAGCTGTGAAATCGACAAGGATGTCAATTTCACTTGTGAGCTGCAGGGGGCTGCCAAGGGCCTCAGCCTTGGCACAGACCTGCCAGATGCATCTGGCATGAGCCAGGAGCTGTGCAGCTGCAGTTGCAGGCTGCAGACTGCCTGACAGGGAACCCAGGTTCTCTGGGAACTTTGTTATTTGCCACGGGAGGATCATTGCGACTTGAGCAGGTTCTGCTTTTTAAACAAGGGAAGGGGAGAAATAGAAGGATTGTAGAGATTTCCCCTGCTTCCAGCACTGTCACCACAAAGCCAGGGGGTGAAATGCCCAAACTCCATTCCCTTCTTTTTTTCCTCTTACAAAGCACAGTGGGAAGCTGAATCAAGCACTTGTACTAAAACCGAAGGCCAGCGTGTGGGAGGCTCCTGAGTCTAGTGCTCAGGCAAAGTTCACTGCACTCGTTATCTGGGATCAGAGAGTAATCAAAGGGCTCAAAGTCTCACCTTGGTCAGCTCCTCTGTCTCTTGCCAAATGCAAAAGCCTGAGCACAGCGTCTCCCCTCGGGTATACTTGGGGTTTGCCGGGCAGGTGGGCAGCGTGACTGACCGGAACGCAACAACATATGGGTCACTGGAAAGGAAGGAAACCCAATTACAAACTGGTTACAAGTGCATTTTGAAAGGTGAGAAAAACACAGGTTTTTATATCAGCTTTCAAATTAACCAGGCCCGTTGTTCAGGCCAGGAGCATGGCCTCAGGACCACTTGGCCAATATGGAAGGGTGCACAGAGATTGTCCAGTCCCATGGTTAGGCATCTCTCCAAGCACAGGAGGGATTTCAGCCTGAATCTAGCAGATCAGGGCCTTGGACATCAGTCCCCCATGTTTCATGCGAATACTGGGGTGGGGAGAGAGCAGGCTCTTGCTCCTGTGTTGGGCAGAAGCTTGGATCCTTGTCAGAAGCAGCCTGTATGTTTCTGGGGATCGTTTGGATTTCTGTGGATCACCTTTGTCCAGTTAACAGATCTCAGCTGTAACAGTCTCAACCCACTCTAATTAAAATCAGGTGCCCACTTTGCAGGAACCCTCAACACTGAATACTAAATAATAATGCTGGCAGAATGAACACCAACACCGTCATCCCTGTTACGTGCACTGACAGCCGGTAAGCGAGGACTGATGGGCAGGGCACAGTTCATAATAAAGCAGGCACCACCGATATGTCTGAGGTGCTATCTTAGGAAGCAGGGCCCAGTCACTTACCCCTTGTCGCAAGGCTTTCTTCGCGAAGCCAAGATGATGAAGTCTTGAGGTTTGTTTTCTAGGCTGTTGGTCTGACTGAGCACATGGTAGATCACGTCATCGTCGTCAACCTGCTGGACCAGTTCTGCACTCCTGGAAAGGACCACAAGGGCATTCTAGAAAGGACTCAGTCTGAAGCCATAAAGGTCATTTTATTTTCCCACAATTATGGGGGGGACCTTCCCCCAGGAGCTCTGACATTACTCATGGCTCTGTCTCATCATACAGCGGCACATGGCAGTCTCGGACTGGAAGTAGCTCAAAGCCAGAGAAGAACCCGCAAAATAAAAATTCCCCCCAACCAAGCTCTTGATGGTCAGGGAGGTCTGGAGAAAAGCTTTCTTCACTGAAGTGCAACCACCATGGCTGATTTAAATAAATAGGTCAGCTCTCCCAAGGACTATGGGGCAGTATTTTTAAACACATTTAAGTGCCTGCAGATGCAAAGAGGCCCACAAGCACCTGATTCCCACTGTGTCTTTAGTGACCTTTGCAATGTGCTATGAGAACGGTGTACAGCATCATTTCCCTAACACAAATATTAAGCATCCCAAATGATTCTTTCTGGTCAAATCCTGAAGCCCTTCATTAAGCTGAGTGTGTGTTGACTTTGGTGACGATTTTGCCCCATAAGAGGCAAGCAAAGAGTCTGAACTAAAATCCCTCGGCTCTGGACCAGATTCCGGGTAAAAGCTTTTGACTTTATGCATTGCAATAGTATTGTGGAGTAGGCTCCACACCATTTTCATGCAGTGCCTCTTCCGGTCTGGTGTGGTTTAACACCTGCCGTATTTGGGGGATGGGATCAGATGGGATACTTTGGTTTTGATGAAAGATGCAAGGAAGAAGCATGGTTCAGTAGCCAAGATTAGAGCCAAGGAGTTCATAGGCTCCCAGCGAGATCTGAGGGGAAGTCATTTTGAAGCACCTTATAGGTCAGGAAACCAGCTGTAAAACTGGGTGAAAAAAGCCCAGTTGCTTCACTGGTTACCTTACTGCACCTGGCGGCAGCACCCTTGGACACACCGCACTGCTCTGGGCATGCTTCCTCCCAAATCAGAAGCAGCATAGCTAAGTCCTTGTGGTGCCAATGCAAGCTCATTAGCATAGGAACTGGCTACATGGCAGCATCCCTCAGTGCTAATTAGCTACTGGAAGTGCTGTGCAGATGCAGCGACACTGCTTCTGGTTTCAGTGGCAGCTTGTCCAGAGCAGGGCCGATGTGACCATACACCCAGCAGAAAGGGAATTATGGCCCCAAGGCAATGTAAGATGAAGGAAAACTTTGCTGGCTGCTCCTTTGACCAGTTACATCCTGCATTCAATGACAGTGAAGTAGAGGGTGGTCCTGAGAGAGCAAGTGCCATCCTTCAAAGAGTGCTTAAAACTGTGCCCTTCTCCTGTCCAGTTTCTGTTCAGGTAAAAGGTAAAAAAAACCCAAAAGCCCACCATTGCACCTCCAAATAAAGACATGCTGCCTGCATGTGGGTGCCCTTGACACCATTCCTCTTCTCAGTAAAATAAATTCTAGCCAACCTCCAAGGCCAGGAGGAGCGAAGAGCTGATTCCAGTCATGCAAGTAGACAGCTACAGCGTGACCCAGTGGGCACAGCCACTGAGCTGGGAGATGGAGTATAGCCTTCTATTTTGGAGCTTAGGTGATAGAAAGCTATGATCATAATCACCGCACGTGGGAAAGCAACACGTACTATTTGAAGACGCACCCCTGTAGGTACAGCCCACTGCTAAGCAGGGTTCTCAAATAAAGGTCCCGAGCCAGCAGAAGTGCCACCAGCAGGCAAGCAGGGCCCTCAACTGGCTTGCACAAGTCGTTGGTCTAGAGGAGGCAGAAGCAGACAGCTAAAGGAGATTCTCCTCAAGCTCATCTAATAGAAACATGAGTTAAGTCCTGGCTTGCACTCCACGAGGCCACAGAGGAGCAGTGTCACCAACAGCTCTGATGTCTGGGTGCGTGCAGCCGCAGATCCTAGCCACACTATGGGATCCGGGTTTGGGAGTGGGCTGCAGACAAAAGGGACGTGCATTCTGCCTGGCTGGAGTGAAAAGTCCTTCTCAGCTGGAAGAGCCACTTTGAGGCGGGGAAGCCAAAAGGAAGGAAGTTGGGGAGTCCAGTCTAGTCAGACTCCTCCCCTACCCTGTCCCCAAATAAACAGAGTCCACTGACCACAATCTTCTAGCCAGCTTCACAGTACTTACGCATAGTGATCATCCCATTCACACCTCCGCCTCAAGTCAGAGAGAAGCAAGAAGGCCTGCCAGGCAGCCATAGACACGGTCATCTCTATCCGGAAGGAGAGGAATTTGTCTTCCTCCACCGTGTACATCTTAACCTTGGAGAACGCACAGAGACCCGATGAGAGGCACATCCTGTTCGACTAATCATTTTCACCTTAGCGCAGCATTGCCAAACAGTTTTGATCTCTCTCTCTCTTTCCTCCCCTCCTTCCCTCCCCGCCCCCACGTGGAGCTTTAATTACATCAGCATGAAGTTCCAGCTAATTATCACGGGACATCATAGGCTCAGAGAAAAATAGAGCTGGAAGGGACCTCCTGGCTGACCGTGTGCAAAACCTGCCTTTTAATTGAGCTGGCGCTAGTGACATCGAGTCATGGGAGTAAAACACAAGCAGGGGTCTGCGAGAAGTTTCCAGGATGACATCCGTGGTCTGTGTTCAGAGCAGCAGGGGCAGATCAGTTAGATTTTACTAACAGCTAAGGAGGAGCTGGCTTTATTTGAGGAACGACAGCGGGTACCTTTGGATACCTTTCCAGGGGCATCCCGGAAAGCCACGTGCTTTACCTTTGCACTGCTGTCACACATAGGAACGTGTGGATGGGGTGCAAGTTCGAACGCATTTGCTCTTGCTAGTACCTAACCACATGCTCCATGAACACAAGCTTTTTATGCACAATCCCACTCAATCAAGCATGTTTGGATACATGAGGATTGAAGTACTGGGATGGATGAAGAAATGACTGAGCCAACCCCCGGGGCAGAGAAGGAAGGGGCGTGCTCCATACAACAGCAGAAAGTCCCCGACCTGTGGGTGGGGGGCAAAGCTGGCATCAGTACCTTGTCTATCTCTGTGGCGAGTACCCAGTTCGTTTTCGCTACAAGAGTCTTCAGCGCAGACACGTTGTTGTAGCTCAGATAAACCTACATGAAGAACACAAGGAAACACAATAGGAGCCACTTTGAACCTCTGTTCTTTTCCTACAACCAAACCCAGCCCACACGACAGTATGACTTACAGCTACTTGAACGCTGAGTTAGTTAAAAGGGAAGTCAGAGGTTAAAAAGGAATTCAGCTTTCCAAGTAAACTCTTCACAGCGACCATTACAATGCACGTTGCATTGACCAATAGAAGTTTCTGTCTGCCTAGTTTCTACAGACAGCGGTTTATCATTGATAAAACTTCTTATTCAGTCCTGTCACTGTTACAGGGTCCTTTAAAATGGGCTGGAAAGGATCTTTAGGTGCTGGTTAGTGGCCACTGCACCTTCCCAAGTTTGCACAAACCTAAGCCTTGACATAAGTTCCAGGTAACCCCCGGGCCTTACTGTACTGCATGGGGCTTACTGGGGAGGACAGAGCCAACAACCACAGACATTTATGTTACCTTGTTGCTTTGGTCCCAGGGCACAGACAGCGGGACTTCAGTCTGTTTGCAGGAAATGACATATTTCCTATGGAAAGCAAAGAGAACAGTATCGGTTACTGCCACTCCGACCTTCAGCAAGGAAACGTTCTTCTCTTAGCTACAGACTGGGGAGAGAAAGAGCGGCTATCAAGTTGACTACAAGGCCTTGTTCAGGAGCAACAGCCCAAAGATGTTGCCTTAAAGACATCTTGGCACGAACTGCAGCAACACTTTTCAACCTTAATTCCAGAAGAGCTTTAAAAGGGGAGGAAAGTACCACAATCACCTGTTTAACTGATGGGAAACGAAGGCACAGAAGGACAATGACTGGCCCAAGCTGCATGACAGAGTCAGGAACAAGTGCCAAGCCTTGGCAAGGTTAGTAAGAGTAAGCACCACAGCATCCCAGCATGGACCCACTGGCTCCACACATTTATTTCTACCACCTTTTACCCGCTAGATCTCACTGCTTTGTTTTTTGTTCCAAGAAAGTCACGGGCAGTAATTCTAACCTGGATGCAGACTGTCCAGGCTCCTGAGCAAGCCCCTTATCTTTGCCTCAGCTTCCTCAAGATGATGAGTGAGGATAATAAATAAATGAGCCTCCTTGGCTCACAGGAGGGAGGTAAAAGTGAATGCCTATGAAGCATCTCCAAGATGAGCAGTGCTACAACATACTCCTCATTTCCATTACTATGCTGAGTTACTTGCTTAGAGAGATGGTGCATTACTTACCATGATCTCTAGACATTACCATGTATTCAACTTTACATCTGATGCAGCGTGTGCATCACACGTACTCTGGATGTACACCCGTGCACTAGGGGTGATGCAGTGAGTACACCCTTGTACTCTGGATGTTGCTCTCCCTTCCCTAGCAAAGGCTGAATGTTCATACTGTTCCTTCTCAAGATGGCTTTAATGCAGCATCGTTGTCTTGGGAAGCCTAGCCTTGCTTCCTCACCCTGGTCCCAGTCTAGATACTCTGATACATTAGAGACAACTGGATAACACAGATATGAATGCTCTGATTGTTCCCAGTGACCTAACAGGAGGCTGCAGAGGTTTCTGATGGGACCCAAAGCCAGAAGCCAAAGCAAAACAAACAGAGAATCTATTTGCAAAATAAATCATCACGGGGCCACATCCAAATTAGAGCTCCCCGCAGGTCCCTTTCCATAAGCCCCTGCTTCAGACAATAAGCTGGCCAAGGAAGGCAGCCTGCCCTGTGGCATTTAGGAAGTTTCCTGAACGCTGATCTGTTTTCTCATACCCACCTCATGGAGGAGGCTGGACAGTGAAGCGTTCCCAATGTCACACCCCAATGTTCCAGATCCACACACAAGAGGTGTTACATATCTGTTATCATTAAAGGGTGCTTTGTGAGAGCGTGTGGCTACAGATGTAGAGGCAAAAGTGTCGGCCTTGCTCTGGACTTATCCCTTGTTGATCTACCTGTAGGTGGATTGCTTGGTCATTCTGGTTAGGGAGTCAAATATGGCCAGAGGTGATGCTAGTCATATCACTCCTAGGTGTGGCACTGGACCACTGTCCCTAAGGTACACTATTTTGACAGGCTGCTAGCTCACGATTGACCTCTGACTTTTTTTTTTTATTATATTAGAACCACATTGTGCGACCCTCCTTCCTCCCTTTCCCCAGTATATAAAGCCTTGGGTTTCAGCTCCTATGGAGTTGTCTGCATACGTTCATTCAGAGCAGAACCAGGGCTGGACCACACTGTTCTCTATAGAGCACCATATTTCCCAGTGTGTGGGGCTGTTTTTAATTCGAGGTTGTTCTTTTCCACTCACCTGTCCAGTCTAATTTTCTTCCTAGCACTAGCTTCTCTGTACCTTCTTTCTCCATCCTGTTAAACAGAAGCAGGTTTATTAGGACAAGCTGTGTGTGTGTGTGTGTGTGTGTGTGTGTTGGAATAACCAACAGCATTCAATAAGAAAAAAATTTCCAAGAAAAGTATGAATTAATATCCCTGTGATCTCCACTATCTATGGAACAGCAATGGCAGGAGACATGCACGGTGCATGAATGGAAATGTGACCTTATCCATCTTACAACTTAAGTTTGCTCAAGATTAGCTCTGAAATCTTTTGCCCTCACACAATAGAAGTGTAAAGCATGGCAGGCAACTGGAACAACAAACAGCATCTTGGCTCTGCCGACAGCTTGGAAAAGGCTTGCCCTCCTAGAACCAGTTCATGAAACAGTGCTCTTAAAAGGATTTGTTTTTGCAATATAGATGCAAACTCCCTGCTGTGTCCTTTCACCCAGCTCTCCAGCAGCCCATCCCAGAGTGCTCTGCCTTGCATATATCATGGCACTAACATTACATATCTGAAGTTTATATCCCCAGTGAAGGCAGAATAGGATAGGTTCACGGTTTTCCCAGCTAAGCAACACTGCAGGAGCACAGATGGTACCAACACATTTGTGTTATGAAAAAAAAGGCTGCTGCGTGGACACAGCCCAATTGTGTCCGTCGTGGCTGGGATGAAGCAGCATGCTATGGTTCATGATCAGAGCAGGGCCAATAGCCCTGCACAGCTATATGAGTGCAAAGGATGCTGGCCACAGCCCCGTGTTGCATGACTCCCGTGCCCCCTTGCCAGACTCTGCTAGGACCTGCCTCTGCTTGCCAGTTACTGTAAACAATGAGTATTAATTTCTGCTGATTTTCCAGATCTGCAGATACAGCTGATTTACAGGGACTGTTTCCAGTTCTGCTGTCATTTGCATTAAAATTCAGATTATCCCAGTGAATTCATAGCCATTTTTTCAACTGAAAAAGTCAATCAACCTCCTGAAATTAGAGCCCTAACAGAACGCTTTAAAATAGATGTAATGAGTTTTCCAAACACGTTATAAATTAAGAGTTAATTGTCCTGCATTCAAATTTTCTTTAGTAAACTAAACGATAGGCATCATAATATTCATCTGTGACCCGAAAGGGACTGGAAGCAGGTTACACCATTCAACCGCCACTACTTAGTCATTAGCATCTTTTAGTGAACTTGTCCCTAGCAGCGGTAGAGGCATGGAAGTCACGTCAATCTAGAGCCGATTGCTGCAACAGCATTTAGGACCTGCCAGCCAGCCAGCCGCCAGGGGGTGAGAGAGTGCCAATTAAGAAAGCCAGTTCCTTGGTGACATGAATGCAGTTGATAGATGGCACGAAGTAGAACCATGTAGCTTTGAACTCTGCCAGAAACCGAATGCAGAGAAGTAGGGAGTTCTCCGGTTCCAAAACAAAGGAGAGAATATTAAGCACTTATTAGAAAGAAGTATACAAGCCTGTGCTCTGTTGCTTTGGGCTTCTGGTAACAAAGGACTGATGACTTAATTTAAAGCATTTCTCTCTAGGGTCACACAAGCCTTGGAGGGCTGGTAAATAAATGGTTTCTGGTACTTTGCTAACAGCTGAATGCTCTTTTGCATACTTGACTACACATGGAGTTAGCTAGCCAAGGCCAGAATCCTGCACTCACCAAACACATGAATAGCTCCATTGAAGAGATAAGGGCTTGACTGAAGAAGAGGAGATTAAGGTGGTGACATGACAGCAGCTTCCAAATATTTGAAAGGCTGCCATAAAGGGGAGGGTGAATAACTGTTCTTCCTTTGCTGCAGGGGTCAGGATACAAGGCAACGGGTTTAAATGGCAACAAGGCAGATTTAGATTAAAGAGCCATAGGGCAATGCAACAAGCAGCCTAGGGAGGTTGTGGTGTCTCCTTTATTGGAGGTTTTCAAGAAGAGGTTGGATTGGTATTTGTCTGGGATGGTTTAGGAATAAAGAAGACCCTTGAGGTCCCCTTATCCCCTTGAGCCATAGGACTCCATGACTCATGACTGAAATCAATAGTGAAGCTCCCATTGACTTTGATGAGAGCAGAGCCAGGTGCAAGGGGGCAAACTCAAGGTGCAGTTGCAGTTGTCTAATGGGCTCCTAGGTTCTTAAGCCCAGCAGATTTCAATGGGAGCTCAGGACTTTTACAAGGCTGGCTGGGCACAGGTGTGCATCTTTAGACACCCAATGACCTTTATGTACCTGTCCCGAGGTGTGCAAGTAGTTGCTGTGCCCGAGCCCAAGGCTTCTTACCCAGTCAAAAATAAAAGTCTGCCATGTGCCACCTATATTGTAATAAGCTTCTGGTTCCACCCATCAAAATTAAACAAGGCAAAGCATCAAAAGTGGAAGGTCTTGAGTCCTGCTGTACTCCCTGGTCACAATGATATTTATACAGCTAATGAACACAGCATACCTGATGACTGAAGCCTATGCAGCCCCAGATTAAATTAGCAGAGGATATCTTTGCTGCTCTCTTCTTTGGGGATTTACCCTGAGATATACACCTGCTTGTTCTAAACCTGTTTATATGACATGTCCTTCAGCATAATGGCATGCAAGTAAAATATGGTTTAAGAGGCTCTGAAAACTAAACAGCCTAATAGATTTTCATTCTTTCCAGTAAATGGCAAGAAAGATGAGATCAAAAGAGTAAGCAATATTCTATTAAGTCCTGCATGGCTAATACATTTCAATCTCTGGTTTATTTTTATTATTATTACTATTATTACTATTATTATTTATACAAAGCAATCAATTTAATTCCCTCGCTATTGAACAATTTGATTTCCATCATCATAAACTGCATTTGTCTTGCACAAAATCAGATAAGGCAATAAAATCAGAGCCTTTCAAAGCTTGGGACAAAACAAGGCTCAGCTGCATTCTGCTTCTCAGGAGCCATGCATCACCACCACACAAGGGACTCAGATGTAGCCAGGCCCTTTTCCGGGCTGCCTCAGCTATGCTTTCCAGTCTTACCCCAGGTTCTGGCACAACCACTGGAAGGGTACGGGGCTGACCCTCTTCATCTAGGACTACAAAGGTCATGAAGGCACTGTTGATATGTCTTCGACTCACTTCCATTTCTTGTCCGTAGGCTTCTACACATACCCCAACCTCCATGCTGGGAATATAAAACAAGAACAGAAGCATATAAAATGCTGTGACTGCTGCAAAGAAACACTACTACTTAGGTCTGTGATTCTTAACCAGAGTGTCGTAGCACCCTGGGGTGCCTTTCAAGGGTGCTGTGGGGTGCTACACAATGTTAGCACTGTTAGGGGTGCAGGATAAAAACTCAGTAGTTTCCTTAGCCTGAAGAAGGGCGTTTGTACCCAAAAGCTTGCAAAAAAGAATGTTCCCCAACTATTTTAGTTGGTCTAAGAAAAGATACTGGATTTACCCAACGAACCCTGTCTGCTTGAGGTTTCAAATAGGAATCCAAAGCATTAAAAGCATTTTGAATTGCTGTGGCCTTTCCAAGTTCTTTGGCATAGCAGAATCACTCTATTATTTTTCTATAGTCAAAAAATGAGTGAAACTAAGAGCTGGGATTTTCCAAGGGAATCTCAAGTCTAACGAGGGGTGCCCCAAGTCTAAAAAACATTTGAGAACCACTGACTATATCAGATTTACCCAAAGACCCTCATCTGCCCATGTCCTTAGACCAACACGGCTACAGCCTGCACCCCTGACTTAGCTAAAGGAATCCAGCCTTCCGTACATTACTTATTTACCACTGTCTGCCCAGGAGCCTGAAAAAGGCCTCCCTGGATTAGAGCTGCTTGGTCAAAGAGATGTGAATAGAAAGAAAAGTTGAGCAGGGGGAGTTCAATTTGTTGAAACTTGATGAAATTTTCATCAAAATTGGACACTTTGGTTAAAAACAAACAGTGGAATTTGTGGATTTTTCTCCCCTTGGCTTTTGTTGTTGCTTTTCGGCATGTGGGAGAGACCTTTTCTGCTCACAAAGATTAGATACCAGCAAATTTCATCACAGACTCCCAGGGATTTTAAAAGGAGTTCACAGAATCATAGAAAAGTAGGACTGGATACACGCATGTTTTCCAAGAGGAGATAGAGACCCTATAGCGTCTGGTTTAAAAACACTCCCAGCAAAATCTATTTTTCATCCCTCTGATGTTTAAATGAGACCCACATCAGAAGCAAAACAAGGATGCACAGTCACTGGTCATGACACACAAGATGGTGCAAATAGGTCTTTCGACCTCTTGTTTCTACAGATTTATCCAGTTGACTTTGGTTTTCCCTGAACCCATTTCAAGGTTTTTAGATTTTAAACCAGGCCGATTCAAATTCAGTCTTGGAACCTGGCCTTAAGTTCTGTATCAAGCCGATTTCTGAGTCAGTAATTTGTTCATTAATTTAGTGGGGAACATCATGTCTCTTTATTCAGACCTAGTCTCCTTGTGTAGGCGCAGGCACCAAAACTGAGCAGAACGGGCACATGACATCAACACCACCTCCCTTTTCAGTCATTTTTCCCTCATGCAAAATCAATCAGCCAACAGTTTAATCTTCAAATACAAAGAAAGCCAACTTCTGACTTTTTTCCCCCCCACAATCTATTCAAAGCCCACATCAAAGCCAGCTAGGTTCATACCTGTTTTTGAATACATTATTAACAATAGCTTTTAGCAGGAGGCGGTCCCCGACTTGAGACGGTCCCCTGAAATGGAACATTTCTATGGCCTTCAGAGTTGGGTGGGCATGGCACAGCCGGCTGGAGGACAGGAACAAGATCAGATTGCAAAAGGTATCAAAAAGGAGAAAAACATTTACTTAATGACACCATACGGACAGCTGTGGCCTGCCGGCCTGTAGTGGATGGAACAGCAAATGCAGTCAAGTGTTATCCGCCAAAGGACAAACCAAAAGTATGTTTTAACGCTGGGCCAGCTTTTCCCGTTACACCTTCACTAGCAGTACCCAGCAAGTTTTAGATATTTCAACCAATTTTCTGCTCCTGTCTGCTCACAAAGACTGCAGTTGAGGTTCATCTACCCCTCTGTTTTGGTCCGTCTGAGCCTCCCTCTTGGTTAAGCCTTAAATCTCTTGTCCCTCCCATCCAACATCATGGCTAATCATCATTTAATGCAATGGAAAAGCATCATTTTATCATCCAGTCTAGGGTGGGTGCAACTGGGATGGAAACCTGGCACAGTTCTCCCAGTAGGCCATCAAGACAGGTCTTTCCAAGCCATTCTCTGTCAAGAGGAGAAGGGCACACTCAAACCATCCTATTCCTCTCAAAGGCCAGAGAAGCCTTAATCCTCCCTTCATCAGAGTCAGGGAAGGAAAGGAACTTGGTTTAAAACATATTGTCCACAACACATCTTTACAGCACAGCTTCCTCTGGGTACCGCACTGCAGCATTAGCACTTGGTAGGAGCCCAAGTGAAGACGTGGACTTGGGCCCACATTTATTCTGGCACAGAAGTGAGAATGTAAGTCTGGCTGATGGTATCATCACACCGTCTAGTCTATCAGAATGTGCCTGGAACTTTGGATACATTAAATACATTTTATAAATTAAGTAGATGCAGAAAAGCATGCTTAAAATCTGAACTCAAATCCTTCAAGTATAGCTGTTCCGGGACCACAGCTCATGCTCCACCATCAATTCGGAATAGCAACTACTCGCTCTTCAGTGACTGCTAGCTAGAAAATTCAGAGTTAGCATCTGAAGTTCAAAACCCATGTGCAAGGGTAGATAGTGAAAACTGGGATAAAGCACTGAACTCCCTCACTGCTTCCCTTCCCAAAGAATAATACACAAGGGACCATCCACAAGCTATCACTACTGCCTCTATGGTGCCACATACTAAACAGATGCTGACTGGTCCAAGACAAATAGCGTTAGTCTCGGACCTCCTCTAGGTTTAGGAAGAAATGTTTCCAAGATCACAACAGCACCCACTAAAAATCTTCCCCTGATCAAGAGACAGCACAAGGTTGCTTATTGGGGCAGAGTACAGAAACGCTGCTTAGCACCACGCCACAAGTGCTTTTCAACGCACATGGCAAGAGTCCCTTATGGAAGACATACTGCTACAGCCAACCCATGTGGATTATGCTTCCCATATGTTGAACAGCCTTGACAGAAGGAAGTATAACGACAGCCAACTGACTCAATCTGAGGCAGCCAAGTGTTTCCATCCTTCCCGGATATATATGACCTGTTCCAACGATGCAACCTGACCTCTAACAGCGAGGCCTATTGAGCATCGTGAGATCCCAGATGTGTTTTGGACCTCATATAGCAACAGGTTACAGCCTCTGGTTCCAAAATGAGGATGGCATCATGACAAGACTTTGTGGAATCATAGAAAAAGAAGGATGGGAGGGTTTAAGATGTCAAAACTAGTCCAATCCCCTGCTCAGGGCAAGATAATCCCTGTCTATACCATCCCAAACCAGTGTTTGACTAACCTGCCCTTAACAATTCCCAGCAATGGCGATTCCATAATCTCTCCTACCAATGTCTTAAACATCCTCATCATTAAAAAATTCCTTCTCATATCCAACAGAAGCAGGCAAAATTTAAATTTGGCAACCCTTAGCCAGTGAACTTGTTCAAGATTTGGGTGGCTGCAGAACCAGTAGCTTGGAGAAGGCAGGTGGAGCCTGTCCCATCTCACAGTGCAAGGGTTGGACCTACCTAGCAGGAGATACAAGATCCACAAGTTGAGGTCACTACAAAGGACTGCTGGTGACAAAGTGGTGGCTCTCCTCTCAGAGTTAATAACACCCCATGTCTAAATGAGCTGTTGAGTTATTGTCCGGTTGTAGACTCTACGTCTTTGGATGAAACTGAAACCTGAGGTCCAGGCCACTTCAAGTCAGGAAACAGCACATGAAGGTTTTTGACAAGTAGAAAGGAATTAGCACCTTGCAACCTGGGGCCCGAATCCTGTTTGGGTCATTATTTGGCACCCACCTGAAACTCCCTGTATCATTCCAATCGCAGGACACCCTGCAATGGCCTCCCAAACTGCTGTATGGGGTGGCTGTGCCCTGCTATAGTACTATGTCTTATGCAGTAATACTTACCACAGGAATGAAAGGTGCACAGAGCATATGCAGCTGGACCCTTGTCCCAGGTAAAAGATCCTGGTGACAGTCGCCCTGTAATGGAGGAGCCCCGAACCTCACCTTGCTGCTATCGTGGCGACGTTTTCCATCCAGGCCATGATCTGCCCACCAAAGGTGTTTCCCTGATGATTGGCATGAGGGGGTAGCACTAGTTCCACACTCTCCACCCTGGTCTGTCCAGCAGGCACCATAGTCTTGCAGTCTCCGGTCTCACGCTCTGGGATGGAAAAAACATACTGGCTTATCACAGCAGCATGAAAAAAGGGGCCTGCTAGGCTGACAAAAGGGTTAGTGGTGTCAGTCATTGCTTGACCATTACCTACAAAAACCTCGTGTCCCCTCTTCTCCTGCAATGCCTGAGCACTTCCCAGCCCACAGCCGCACTGAATCCAGAACAACTCCCTGTTTCACCTATGTAACAGGTGCTATGCAGTCAGGTGAGGGCTACCTATGAAGCTTTCCCCCACTCAAAGAAAACACCATGTTTCCTGAACACACCTACTCTGCCCTCACGGGGCCTGGAGACCTTGTACCCACCGAACCTGTGGAGTAAAACATGTCTATGCACCTTTCACAGAGCTCTCGAGAGGGCCACGAAGAAGCAGGTCTTGCCAACCCACTCTACCTGGGCCAAACCTGGCAATGAGGAAAATCTCCTCCTCCTACCTGTTGCAAATCTCAAGCACACAGAGAAGGGGCTCAAAAGCAGTGCGTGTGCGTGTGCAAGTGGGGGGGATGGACTAGCCCCTCAGGGCAGCTTCACTGCCTCATTTATGAGCTTGGCGTGAGCAGAGCACAAGCACATGATGGGTAGGGCACGATCCTTGGGAACGTTCTCCACGGCTCCGAACGACTGGTTCACATGCACCCTTGGCCCAGGATGAGGCCTGGCTAGCCTCTGCAGCCTGGCCTAACATCCCCACCAAACGTCATTTGGTCCTAATGGCATGTCCCACCCAAGAGACTGCAAGCCCATTGCTAATGTTAGCAAATGGCCTTGAACACAGCTGTGAAACAGGTATTATCCCCACTGGATAAGAAAAGAAGGCAACAGAAGTTGCTCAAAACCAGTTCAGTGGTAAAGCCTGTAACAAGGCCCTTCTGTACCACCTTGTGCTGTAGAATATCCTCCCAGGAGCCTGCCAGGACGGGGCGGCACCAATAAGCCTTTTGGTGAAAGTAATAAGCCAAGCCAAAAATGTAACAATACCTCAATAAGCACATTTGAGACAATTAGCACTTCACAGGATTGGGGTACAGGCCAGACTTGTTAGACACTTGACAGAGATCAAAGGCTGGAGAACAGCGTACAGAGCTGACAGTTAGGAAGGTGCACATTTTCGCCCCATCTCTACCAGCGAGTAGCTGCGTAGCAATGGCAAGTTCACTTTATGCGTTTGCCTGTGGACAATACTTAGTGCCCCGCTTCACAGGGACACTGTGAGAGACAGGTGGTCTGCCATGCATGGAAGACCACCTCCAAACTCTAGGGTTTTATAATCAAATGCCAGATGTGAAACTGCTTTGCTGCAGACAGATGTGCCCAGACTGTTCTCTGTCCCCAGCTCAAGGCAGTCGGGCCAATGCCTGGCACAGACTCCTGTGGGACAGAGGGATGACAGACCCACAGGATAAGTTACCAGCTTGGAGGGAGCTGTTGCTAAGAAGATCCTTGATGGTATCAGTGTGGGCCAGCCTCATGCGGCGGCGCTCAGCTGCAATGCTGTATTCGGTCTTCTCCTCTTCTGTCTGAGGAATCACTGGCTTCAGTTTAATCTAGGCACAAAGGGACAGGACAGTAGAGCCTCAGAGGGATTGGCAGAGTCTGTATTCAGCTTTGCTCCTACCTGGGCTGTTTCCCAGGGAAGCACTTCAACAGGAACCCTGAGGAGCATGTAAGACATCACTACCAGGCTTTATCTAGAGCAGGGCTGTCCAACTGGTGGCCTGTAAAGGGTTAATCTGTGCCCCCCAGATTCCCACCCAGCTGCTGATTCCCCACTGCTCCAGCTGCAGTAGCAGCCAGGGTTTCTGCCCCCCTCCTTCCTGCAGCTCCTACTTGCTGTCCCTACACAACAGACAGTGCAGTGCAATGCAGGGTAGCCCATGGTGCCTGCAAAGCAGGGACCTGAGGGTAAGACTAGGGTGCCGGTGTGTACCGGGTACAGTGGGAGAAGGACGGACCATGCAGGGTGCAGCCTGGAGGGCCCATGGGTCATGCTGGTATGACCCGTGTAGCATGTGGCCCCTGTTGGTGTGGCCCACAGGGTATGTGGCAATAAAAGATGGACAGCTCTGATCTAGAGAGCTCATGCATCTCAGTGGTTCCCAAACCATGAATGCACCACTGCAGGTGGCAAACTTGGGTCATGCCAAGTCAGACCAAAGGTCCACGTAGCCCAGAGTTTGGTCTCCAGCTGTGGCAAGCAGAAGCTGCTTTGTAGGAAGAGTGTAAAAACACAGGGCATGTGTAGCTGATTGCAGAGCTTCCCCGTTTGCCATGTCACACATCAGTAAGAGTGCACAGTGGTCCACTGCCTTGGTTCAAGATGTTTGGGATAATACTTCTAGTCCTGGGTCCCCAATGTCCTGGGTGAACCGGAAAACCTTTCTATAAGAGGCAGCTCCTCCATGACACCGTCTTCCAAAAGACGCACAGTATTTGCAGCATCAATAAGTTCTTTGTATCCAAAGCCTGTTTCATCAGAGGATCATGATGCTCTTTACCAATATGAATGATGACTTGTATTATTGTAGCATGTACGGACCTCAGCTGTGGCCAAGGCCCTATTTGTGCCAGGCTTCGTAGAGACACACAGCAAGAGACAACCCCTGGCCTGGAGATCTTATGGTCAAATAAAGGAGACAAAGGATAAAAACAAAAGCATAGAGACTATCCGTCACTCAATAAGTTAGAGACAAAGCTGTGCGTCAAATTGGGCATTCAAGTTTGCAGCTAGTGCCCTGCTCTGTTAGGCCACATTGCCTCCATACCAGTCTATACCATACTATAATAATCTGATAAGCCACAAAACAACTGT